CGTCGAAATTTGGGCGGTGCTGCAGTCCCTTCAGCGATGCCAAGTTGACTGTCGGTATATCGAAGTGCTGAAGTGCTTGTACAGTAGGGCTACGATGGCTATCCGAGTACAGAACCAGAGTACGAAACCTATCCAATTGCAGAGAGGTGTAAGACAGGGTGACGTCATATCCCCGAAACTCTTTACCGCTGCATTGGAAGATGTTTTCAAGCTTCTGGACTGGAAAGGATACGGTATCAACATCAATGGCGAGTACATCACTCACCTTCGATTTGCCGACGATATAGTCCTTATGGCAGAATCGCTGGAGGACCTAAGCACTATGCTCAATGACCTCAATAGTGTTTCCCAATGGATAGGTCTTAAGATGAACATGGACAAAACAAAGATCATGTTTAATGTCCATGTCACACCTAGGCCGGTAGTTGTTGGGAACACTAAGCTCGAAGTTGTTGACGAGTATGTTTACCTGGGACAAATAGTCCGACTAGGTAAGTCCAACTTCGACCGAGAGGTCAATCGACGGATTCAACTCGGTTGGGCAGCGTTCGGGAAATTACGGCACATCTTCTCGTCAGGTATACCTCAAAACTTGAAAACGAGACTGTACACCCAGTGCGTGTTGCCAGTGATGACATACGGAACTGAGACGTGGTCCTTCACTGCTGGCCGGATGAGGAAGCTCAAGGTCGCTCAGCGAGCTATGGAGAGGGCTATGCTCGGAGTTTCTCTGCGTGATAAACTCAGAAATGAGGATATCCGCAGTAGAACTAGAGTGACCGACATAGCCCAACGGATTAGTAAGCTGAAGTGGCAATGGGCCGGCCATATAGCTCGAAGAACCGACAACCGATGGGGAAGAAAGGTTCTCGAGTGGCAGCCTCGTACCGGCAGGCGAAATGTAGGGCGTCCCCCCACTAGATGGAGTGACGACCTGGTAAGACATGCAGGAAGTCGATGGATGCAGGTGGCTCAGGACCGTGCTTTGTGGCATTCTTTGGGGGAGGCCTATGTTCAGCAGTGGACTTGTGAAGGGCTGTAATGATGATGATGATCAACTATTTCAATTTGTGGGCAGCAACATTCAGTAGCGCTGTTATTATGTAGGCAGATGTGATTATGTGCGACTAATTTTTTAATTGCAGTGGGTTTTAGGTATGGAGATTTGATTACTAACAACTTAGTTTTGCTGGCGTTAAGGACGAGCCCAGCATCATGGCACCATCTTGTTAGGATATCTAGGTCAGACTGTAAAAGGTCACAAGCCTTTTGTGGATTTTTATCACCAATTACAAGGCAAATGTCATCAGCAAACTGGTAGCACGTGCAATTTACGATGCAGCTTCCCATGTCATTGACGTAGGACAAAAAATGCAAGGGTCCTAGTACCGAACCTTGTGCCGTACCCTCCGTCATCAATATAGGCTTGCTGTAGTTATTTTCAATCTTCACAAAAGATTTTCGGTTCTTCAAGTAGTTACGGCACCAGTTAAGCAATGGACCACGTACACCACATTTGTCTAATCTGTCCACAAGCTGTTCATGTAACATGGTGTCAAAAGCACGTGAGAAGTCAATAAATAGGGCAAGCACCTGTCTTTTTTCATTTAGGTGACTATTGACATCATCAGTGAATTTTGATAAAAGACCTGTTGTACTTTTTCCTGATTGGAAACCAAACTGATACGGACTTATTACAGAGTTATTCGTATAAAATTTGTGTATTTGCTCGCCTATGAATTTTTCCACAATTTTATCAATTGACGAAAGTAATGTAATTGGGCGATAATTTAAGTAGTCATCACGTTTTCCTTTCTTATGTACAGGTCTGACACAGCCTTCTTTCAATTGATCAGGATACAAACCATTTTTAATGCTACTGTTGATTAGGTTAGAAATGGTTGGGGAAATATATTCCCCTATCATTTTAATGTCAGAAATCGCAATATTGTCAGCACCTGGCGCCTTTCTTGAGTTTTTAATAATTTTATGAACACTACTGGGGGTCGCTTTCGGAAATAGGATACTGGAGTCTAAGATTTTAGAAGTATTATTTTTGTTCATTAATTTTATTTTACAATTTGGAATTATACTTTTTACCGCTCTGTCGAAGCTATTTGCGAAATTATCTGCAATAGTTTTGGAGGTAAGTCCCTGAGCATCAAACGCCTTGAGTATAGCCGCATCAAAAGACAAGGTCATTCTCCCTAACATTTGATTTACAACATTATAATTTTTTTTAATAGTCTTAAAATTATTATTTATTTGCTTTATATAATATGTATTCTTTTTGATTTCAAGAACTTTATGTACTTTATTGCGTATTTTATTATATTCTAGTCTTAGTTTTGAGTTATTTGGATTATTTTTCCAATTACGATATAATTTGTCCCTTTTATCACAAAGACGAGTAATATTGTTATCAATCCAATGCAAATTAAACTGTTTAGAGGTCTTTTTATTTAATTTATAGGTTTTGATGTTAGTTGCGGAATTTTTTGCGGTCTGAAAAGAATTATATATAAAATTTAGAATCTCGTCTGGGGAATTCATATCTTTAGACTTTGACCAATCCACATTTTTAAGTTCCTTATAAAAAATCTCGTAATCAATCAGTCGTTTTGTTACATCCTGTAAACGCGTGAGCATTATAGGTGCGTCATCAACGCACGCAAAGATAATACCTCGATGATCGGCCAGTACAACATCGAGCACCGCCGAGAAAGAATGTAAGGTGGGGAATCGGGCAAAAATGTGGTCTAAGCAAGATTTAGTAATTAAATTTTGCTTAGTTTCAATTCTTGTGTATTCCGATATTCCACACATCAATCCGTGCTCGCTGAGTGCTCCTACATAAACATCCTTGTATGAGGTTGGAGTTTTTATATCTATGTTAGTGTCACCGATTAAAAGGAAGTTGTGTTCCAATTTAAACTTAGAAATGTACTTGCTTATTTCACTTACAAACAGTTTTTTATTTGTAGATGGTGGTCTATAAACTGCACACACAACTATATTTAGTGACGAGTTTAGTTTTATTATGCCCGAGAGACTTTCAAACGTCTTAGTTTTATGTTGAATTGTAGTAAATTTTAGATGGTTTCGTACGTAAATTATAATTCCGCCTCCCTTCTTATTTTCACGTAGTTGTGCATGCAAACTATAGCCTGGTAATGTGTATAAATTAACAATATTGTTCGAGATACCAGCCTCCGTTATAACTATTACATCTAGTGGATAGCTACAGTTGTGGATTAGTTGTTGCAGTTTAGTAAAATTTTTTATAAGTGACCTAATATTAAAGTGAATACATGAAAATTTCATAAAACTTTTAGGAGGCAACTGTTGAAAGAATTGATTAGGAATTTTACAATTAAGAATTTCATTTATTTGTGTATCCATCTTATTTGAATTTATTGACTTATGAATAAATATAGGTATAAATGAGAACTTTACAATATTGTGGATGAGGATGTCCCGGGTTGTTTATCAGAAAGAGATGAACTTTGTTTTACAATTTGATTTATATCATGCATACTGCGAATATAATAAATTTTACTGTTGTCAGTTTTTCGAGCACATACCTTTCCATTTTTACACCAAACATACTTACACGACTTATTTAATAGCTGTGACTTAGCATTAAATAGAAGTGTTTTCTGGTACTTTGCTAGGGCTTCTCTTATAAAAATACGTTCATCAGCCTTCTCCTTTAGAACGTTCGGCAATATCATCCCTGCGGTAAGACACTTGTCCTTGCCAGCATCTATCCACTGTTGCTGCAAGACTTTAGACTTCAGCTCCACAAGAACTGATCCCGGTTTGTCCTTTGATCCTTGCAACCGTTGAGCTGACTGCACATCCTTCTTATCAACGTCCAATTTAGCGGCAACAGTTTCTATTATTGTATTTAACTCGCTGGGCATTTCCACTGGTAACCCGGCAATTTCCAACGAGTTAGAGAGAGTCTTTTGTTCAAAGTCTCTAAGCCCCTGTTCTAAAGCAGTTACCCTCAGTTCTAAATTCTTGTTTTTGTTCACTAAGTCATAATTCTTATTTTCAAGTTCTTTAATCCTAGTGTCCTGTTTTTTTATAGATTGCTCCATAGTGGAAAGTTGTTCACTTAGAAAATCAAGTGAGCTCTCAAGATTCCCTATCTCCTCACGAAAAGTATTTTTACCTCGCGACTGATGTCTTGTACCAATTTTCTCGCATCTATAACTTGAGCGTTTCCCGTATTTCTAGGGTCGCAGTCCTCATCATCGCCATCATCGTCGGGTATCACGAACGATGACCTACGAGAAATGTTGTTTAGGCACTCTTCACAACTCCACTCTATACCAGACGAACTCTTGATGGTGTTTAGCTGTTTGTTGGATAGCTTTGAACAGGCAGGATCCGCATGAACTATTAGATCGCATCTACTACACTCTATTCCAGGCACTTTTTTAGTGATATTTTTCTTACATTTACCACACTTTTTTACAACGCACAATCGCACGCGTCTCTTCGCAATGGTGTCAACTTGTAAACTTATTACATTATTTGGGCCATGAAATCTCTGCCGGTACAATACAGTAGGGTTGATGAGGAAGTGGTTATGAGGAAGAGGATGCGGATGAGGAACTATTAAAAATACGTTTTGAGGAAGAGGATGAGGATATGAGGAGGAGGATGAGGATGAGGAAGAGAATGCGGAAGAGGAATATAGAACTTGTGATTTGGAATTGAAATTTTAAATAAAAGAAAGATTTCGAATGGGCCCTTTAATATTTAGAAAGAAAAAAAACAATTTAATAGTCAAAATTCACAATAGGGAGGTTGAATTTAACGAAAATTAACTTTGAAGCCGTTTCTCCAGATAGACGGTTTCGTAATTCGTCGTAAACTAATCCAGCGCCACTGAAAAGGCGCTCACTGGGGATACTTGATGGAGGGGCTGAAAGATACTGGCGCACAGCTCTGTAAAGTTCAAAATAGTTGGGGTTCATTTTCCACCACTAAAGACTGTCTTCTTGAAGAGCTATTCTCTTCTCTTTAATATAATTAATTATTAGTGACTTCAGGATAAGAAATCTGTCGATGGGTGCGATTGGACTTTCTTCATCGTCTCTATTAGCAGCTGAGGCCAGCATCTCAGATAACATTGATTGTAAAAATCTGCCTGTAGAAAAATTAGCTCCAGAACTCGTTGATGGTAGGCTCTCGGTATCGGTATCATGAAAGTGTTGATTGTGTTGAATAACATCATGTTCGAATGACTGTATTTGTGGTTGTGCTTGTGCGCCATGGCCTTCTTGATCTTGACATAAAGAAATCAGTTCGGACTCAATACTTTCTTTAGTGATTTCATTAAAAATCTTAGTTTTATATTTTGGATCTAAATAAGTAGCGAGTAGATCTTATTATTATGACGTTCACCAAAGCGATTGGTAATTTCTTCTATCAATTTTTGAATAATATTCCCGCAAGTTTGGTCAGTATTATTTATATTCTGTCTCAATAGATTCTGCAATGTGCAGATCAAGACATGGATTAGAGGGATCTCGGATGAAATACAGGCTTCGGAACTACTCATGGTCTTGGTGGCCTCTTCAAATGGCTTAAGGATTATTGCACAGCTCTTAAGTTGTAGCCAATCGTTTGGAGTAAACTGCGGCAAATTTGTATGTTGTGAGGTATAAAGTACTATGGCATCCTTTATTTCAATTAGACGTTGAATAATATTAAACATACTATTCCATCTTGTAGGACACTCTTGAATAACTGAAAGCAGAGGCAGACCCAGACGTTCTTGAAAACCTTTTAATTTGCTTTGGCCGAAATTATTATTGAGTGGTTAAAATGTGTCGCAATTTGCTTGCATTTTGCCAACAAGAACTAAATATATTCATCAATCGCCAAGGCCGCACGTATGCACAATTGCAATTGATGTATATTGCAATCAATGTCGTTAATCTGTGACACGCGGGCCGCTCTTTTCATGTTAGAACCACCATCGCGAACCATGATATGTATTTTTTGACGGGGAATCTCCCATTCCTCCCGTATTTCGTCCAACTTTTGTGCTATCACATCGCCCGTATGTCGTTCCTTGAGTGGGACACATTTAAGAAATAAAGATACTCTTTGAAAGTCATTGTTGATACTGTGACGCCTCATAATTATTATTAATAAATAATAATTAAATTCATTATACAGACATTTAAAAATGTCTTAGAAATTATAATTTAAACAATAAAATGCAAATAATAAGCATAGAGTTCAAAAATATCCATTTGGAATATTGAATATTATATATATTAGTAAACGCATAAAATGTCTCTAAAAATCTCTAAATTTATTAAAAACCTGCTTAAAATGTTCAAAATGTATCAAATCATATAAATACAAGGCGATTATATTGCAATAACAAAGATAAATAACATTTGTAATATAATAGAAAAAATGGATTAAAATTTTCTAAGTTGATGAAGGTGTTCGTGTAATAATTGGAAAATTTCTAAGTTAATGAACGTGTTCTTGTAATGTTCCCTTATATTGGGGCGTTGTCGGAGACACATACCCAAGGTTGTACATATATATGTGGTGGTCGGCTGACCGACTGCTAGTACTAAGGTTGCACAATGACTAGTCCTATATTAGGGACTTAACATAGTAAGGTCTGACGAACCAAAGCGTTAATATAGAAGGTCTCTATGATGCATAAGCATTATGATAGCAGAGTTATGACTTGAAGTCCCATATGAATAAGACATACAGTAGTATGGTATATGAAATAAAGCAAATATGTGGAAGGTCTCAAATATGTAAAAGCATTATATTGAAAGAAATGGGACTTGAAAAGGATTATTATAGTGGCGTGTAGGTTGCTTCGAAGCCTCTGAGACCGAGATAAACTTGGACTCACTAACCGATGTGTCCTAGACATATCATCTTAGTGCCGGTGGTAAGCGGGTTTGTTGTAGCAATACGACTTGCCCGTGGACATCGCACACCCCTACCGGTTGTGGGCGGCGTCTTAGCGCATAGCGTTATGATGCGTCGGCTATCTTTCGGATTAGGGTGAGGTGTTTGGTAGTACTTTTAAGTGCAGCAAGCATACTCAACTTCATGTCTTAGTGCAATAGCGCTATGATACGTGGAGTTTTGGCTACTGACGTCTTAGTACCGTACTACTATGATACGTTGGTGGTATTTTTAGTTAACAACATTATCAAATTTTGTTACCAAAGTCGATAGGGATCATGTGGGTGTGTTGTGAGGGGGCGCCATCCGTATGATAGTTGCATTGATGCTTACTGCTACTTGCAGTATTGTGTCTTGTGATGGATCTGCGGGTGTGCTGCACTTGATTCGATGCATCTTGTGGTTCTGGTCGATGGAGGTATGCGGGTGGTGATGTCTGCTGGGACTGTATGGGGGACCTTGGGATGGTGTAAGCTTGACTATAGTCGTGTTGATGCTTGTTGCATTCTGTAGCATTGCGTCTCTACGGTGGTCGTTTGGCGGGTCGCTATTCTCAATGGCGCTCTCTGCGTCTTGGTTTGACTCACAACCTAAGTAGCTTTGCCCAAGTCGGGTCCCTTCATTGCGGGGCTGCAGACTGTCTGCCCTCCATGATGTTTTATATAACAACTTAATAATATATCTCTATAAAGTTCCCACCTTTGAGAGTATTTTGAATCCTTTGAGATTTAGAATCTATATCTTACAGATATAGATTCTAAAGAAATACAAGTATAAGTGGATATATAGTAGAAAAGAAAAAAGATGGGGGGGGGTTCGTTACAATACCATGAATTGTAAAACTCAGCAACAAAACTCCTGCTCCTGGTTCAGTCCATATATCAGTGGTGAAAGATAAGTATTGCAAATCTTTAATTAAGTTTTTTACCTTGTTCCTTAATTTAGGATAAATATAATTACACAAATGAGATGTGTAACTTTGACGTCCTCTTAAATTATATTTTGGCTGAACAGCATGAATCAACCGTCTAAAGCCAATTCCTTCAACAAAGTTAAATGGTAAATCTTGAAGAGCTAACATTTCGTAAATTAAATTATCCAGCTCGCAGCTTTTTTCGTAAGATGTATCCCAATACTGATGTCTTTGTAATGCCTCCTGTAAAGTTACTTGTCTCTTAGCCTGTTGAAGAGGAGTCTCTTCCGACAATTTGCGTTTATCAACCGCGGCTTTTTTTAATGCTGTATCCTTTTGTTCATACTCTACTTCATGGCGTAACTTGAGATGACTTCTTAACCCCGAAGTCCCGCGCCCTTTCCTTGAATATGTTTGGTCACATATTTTACATCTAACAGTATCAGCGTCCACTTCACTAAAATACATCCATATAGCACTACATTTTGGCCTCATCTCATAAACTTTTTAACTTAACAATAAACCTAATTACGACTTACGTATTTCTAGTTACGTACGAGTGTACCGCCACTCAAAATCAAAACAAATTTAAGACTGGCTAAGTGGCTACAGTGGGATGGGTACGCGTACGTACACTACAGTACTACACACACACACAGTGAAACACACAATAGCGTGCTGTGTTATATTTCTAAAACACGTTCAAGCCTGATCGTGAAAGTACCTAATGCAGCGAGCAAAAGACGGAGATTACTTTTATTTACATTGAATACGTCAACAACACTTCCTCATAAATTCCTCTTAATTAATGAGGATGTGGAAGAGGAAGAGGAATATTTTATGCCTGATTTTGAGGATGTGGAAGAGGATGAGGAATCGCTAAAAAATGAGGAACTTCCGCATTATGAGGATGAGGAAGAGGAATCCTCATCAACCCTACAATACAGCCAGATCGAGCTAAAATTAACTGCGTAGCTTAATATCGTCGGCCCCGAAATGTACACGAAGTCATGCAGTTTATTGGATTAACGTCTTATTTTAGAAAATATATAAGAAACTTTGCACAAATAGCACAATCCTTAACTGAACTCACTAAAAAGGATGTAGAGTGGCATTGGGATTCCCAACAGGAACAAGCATTTCGTACACTAAAGCAACGGTTAAGAGAAAGACCAGTTTTATGCATATACGACAAGGATGCTAAAACAGAACTTCATACCGAAGCAAGTAAACTCGGCTTAGGTGGGGTGCTTATTCAACACCAAAGAGATGGTAACTTAAAGCTAATCGCGTTTTTAGTAGAGTCACGACGAATGAAGAAAGATGTTATCATAGCTATGAATTGGAAACTCTAGCTGTTGTAGAATCTCTTAAACGTTTTCGTATATACCTTACTTTTTTCGTATATACAGGCATACCCGTAAAGATAGTTACGGATTGTGCGGCTCTACGCACCACGTTAGTTAAAAAGGATTTGATTCCGCGTATAGCCCGATGGTGGCTAACTATCCAAGATTTTGACCTAGAAATAGAGTACCGGCCAGGCGAACGTATGAAGCATGTTAATGCCCTGAGTAGGAACCCATCCTCGAGTTTTGTTCTCATGATAGATAACGATGATTGGTTAAAAACACTGCAAATGCAAGATGAAGGTATTCAAAATATTCTTAAGGATAACCTGCTATTTAGAAAAACTATTGGTGGGGAGAGATTTGTTATTCCTAAATTGGCCAAGTATGGGTTGTTGCAAAATCTTCACGATCAGATAGGGCATCCGGGTTTCGATAAATGCGAGAAGACCATCAAAGCACAATTTTGGTTTCCGGGCATGACACGGTTCATACGTAAGTACATAAACGCTTGCTTACAATGCGCCTTCGGTAAGGGCAACCATGGCAAACTAGAGGGTGAACTATACCCGATAGACAAAGCAGCTTGTCCCATGCATACCATACACGCAGACCATAAAAACGCAGTCCTTTCATAAAAACACGTAAAGGTAATACTTATATTCTTGTCGAGAGCACACAGAGTCGATAACACAGAGAATCGTAGAACACAGAGAATCGTTGAACACAGAGAATCGTAGAACACAGAGAATCGTAGAAAACGCATATCAGAGCTGAGTAAATATATAAAACGGAGTATGAGAAAGGATATAAAACAAAACAGAAGAAAAAAAATAGAAGAGCAAATCATTAGAACAGGAGGAACAAAAAAAGCATATAAAGAACTGTCAGAATCAAAAGATTGAGTTACAAAAGTTAGAAATGAGAAAGGAATAGAACAAAATAGAAGATCAGACATAAAAAATATTGCCACATCAGACTATAAACAATTATATGAGAACACACAAGAAGAACCTGGCGAATTAATAGTACTAAACGATGATGAGGATGAGAGCATACCCTATATACTGCAACGAGAGGTAGAAGTAGCATTACAGTCCCAAAGTAAAGAAAAAGCCCAGGGCCAGATGGCACTGAAAATGAAATCCTATTAATGGCAAAAATTGTCCTGTTACCATTTATCACGAAACTATTTAATGAAATTTTCGCAAACGAATTTATCCCGATACAATGTTCTTAATATAGGTAATTATCGCCCGATCAGCCTTATGTCCAACTTATACAAAATATTTGCGAAAATACTGCTAAGAAGACTGGAAAGAAAATTAGACGACAACCAACCAGACGAGCAAGCAGGTTTTCGTAGAGGGTACTCAGTATTGGACCATATACATGTTATGAGGCAGATTATAGAAAAATCCCATGAACACAACCAATTATAGTACATGGCATATATAGACTACAGCAAGGCTTTCGACTCTTCATTTCACAATAAGATATGGCAGGCCCTAAAAGAACAAGGTATCGAAAGCAAGTACATAAGGATACTGAGAGAGATATACAAGAAAAGTACAGCATATATACAGTTAGAAAAGAAAGGAGAACCATTTAGCATACAAAAAGGTGTGCGACAGGGAGACCCGCTATCCCCAAAACTTTTTTCTGCGGCCCTTGAAATGATATTTAGAAGACTAAATTGGGACGGATATGGAATCAGTATCGATGGAACTTGGTTAACACATTTAAGATTTGCAAAAAGAAATCAACAGGAGAGCATGAAGGAAATAGTGAAAGATAAAGAACTGCACATATCTATTAAGTCTAAAGTATTCAACACATGCATTCTTCCTGTATTGATGTACGGATGTCAAACATGGGCTCCTACTAAATTAAACAGTAAGAAATTAAACATATGCCAGAATTCGATGGAGCGAAGCATGATGGAAATCAGGAAAAAGGATCGAGTCAGGTTAAAAGACATTTGGAAAAACACAAAGGTTCGGGACATAGCAACAAAAGTCAGGAAATTAAAGTGGAAATGGGCTGGGCATATGAGTAGAGGGAAGGAAAAGTGGAGCAGGAAGGTCACAGAATGGTACCCCAGGAATGGCATAAGAAAGAGGGGGAGACCCCGCTAAAGATGGGAGGACGACCTGGTCAAATTCGCGGGTGTGACTTGGAGCCGGGTTGCCAAGGATAGAAACGAGTGGAAAAGGTTGGAGGAAGCCTTTGCCGATTGGCAATCAGCAGAAGACAATCTAGATTTTATATGACTTAGATATTAAGAAATTGTATTACATACTGTTGAATAAATGGCTTTATTATTATTATGGGGTATTTGTATAGTTTTCTCATCTGGTTGGGCTGTATAAATATATAATTGTAAATGAAAATGATAAACTTACATAAATATCAATAAAATAAAATAAATACATAAAAATATAAAAACCCAACCAGATGGAAGCCCTCGGCAGGGGAGACCAAACGGCCGAGGGTTAGGGGGAAAGGGAAAGAAACCGGCGGACGATGCGGGCGGTATCGAGGAGCACCGCCTTCTGCATTTGAACTTGGAGCGATCCGCCACGGAGTCCCAGTCGCCTCAGATGACTTGAGAGGCTGACTGGGATTAACCCGTTCGCAGAGACGACCACAGGAATAATTTCGGCCGGCAGACCACCCCACATGTCGGTCATCTCGTGAGCCAGGTCCAGATATTTTGTCAACTTATCTGTTTCGGCTTTCACGAGGTTCTCGTCATAAGGAATGGTAATGTCGACCAAAAATATCCTTGACTGTGCCCGGTCCATCAGCACAATATCAGGCTTATTCGCAAGAATAGTCCTGTCCGTGATGATGGCCCGGTCCCAGTAGAGCCTGGCGCGGTCATTTTCAAGCACGGCTTCCGGCAAGTAATTATAATATGGCAGTTTCCGATCCACGATACCGTATTTCAGAGCGAGCTCCTGGTGTAGAATCCATATTATTATTTATTATTATTATTATTTATTATTATTGATGCATTTACCAAGTTTGTTGTCGCAAGAGCAGTTAAGAACTGCAGCTCTATAGAGACTATAAGACTGGTGAAAGACATACTGTCCCAATTCGGTAATCAAAGAAGAATTATTACTGACAGAGGCAAGACATTTACTAGCCGCTATTTTAAACTTTTCTCCAATGAGTTACAATTTAAACACGTTTTAAATCCTATAGCATGTCCTCGTTCCAATGGTCAAGTGGAGCGTGTAAACCGTACTTCACTAAATGGCTTAAATACAATTTCTGACAGTGAATGTACATGGGATAACAAATTGTCAGATGTAGTCTGGGGAATTAATAATACCCCTAATTCTACTACGGGACATACACCTTTTAGTTTAATGTTTGGCAACGACAATTCACGTTTCCCATGTTTTCCTAAAGAATTTCCCCAAGATCATGATTCTCAACAACAAAACTTGCAGACTAGAAGGAAAGATGTTAAATTTCTTATTGATATAATATGACCTTAATGAAAAGTAGGTTTGATCGTAAGCATAAAAAATGCCGAAAGTATAAAATAGGAGATTTTTTATGGAAAGGGGGTGTGTCTAGAGATACAACTGCTAAAGTCACCAAAAAGCCTAATAGTTCATACACCATATAAGTTTGCAAGGCCGAGCAATCACTCGATCGTTATAAAATTAGTAGTATTATGGGTATGAAAGGTTATAGAAGGTTCAGTGCCGTAGTCAGTAGTGAGAGTCTACGACCATATAAATCAACACTATCAGATGATGTGAATAAAGTTGTCAACTAAAATATAGTTTTAAATAAAACATGTTGTTTACGTCTGTTGGTTTAATTTGATATAATAACTCTAAATCAATATTTGCAAAGCAGCTAAAGTACAAATATAGCTAAGTCTAACAATAATTAAAATACTAGGACAGCTATGTAGCAGGTCCATAACAAATAGAAGAAGGGACAGCTAGGTGAACAAGTCCATAATAGTTAAAACAAGGGGACAGCTAAGTCACCAAGTCCATAATAGTTATAGATCCAGGATAACTGAGTGACCTAGTCCATAATAGGTTTAATACAAGGACAGCTAAATGTATAAATCCACAATTGTTGAAACACTAGGATGGCTAATTTAACCAGCCCCAGATGGCCAATGTACAAGAACTATTAGGTAAACAACTAGGTATATTAATAGTTTAAACGTTTATTAATGACTTGTAATAAAACAAAATAAATGTCCTCTACATGATTTCTTTTTGGAAATAGCACAATTTACTGTGTAATTTTCTTTTCTCCTTTCAGAGGCAAAATGGTGAATATAATGAGCGCCGCGGGACGCGTACGACTCAGGATGGCCGAATGTTACAAGTGGATTTGAAATCATCGACACCTATATAATAAATTGTTATACATAAGTGATTATTAAATATACATATGTTTCAGATTTAATAAATTATAAAACCATATAGTAACATAGGTAAAAATAATAAGATTAGTGGGTAGTTGTAACAGCGCTGTAAACTATAAATTGAATTGCCATAGGCAAGGAGACTGTCCTCTATTTTTTTAGGTCTAAAGAGAACTTAGGTCATAGATTTATATCTATGACCTAAGTTAATATATTATTATATACTGTCTATGAGCTATGGTCTATGTATTAGTGTTATTAGCGATGGGCAATTGAACAAATATGTCGATATATCGTCATGTTTTGCATGATGTTCTAGGATAAGGCCCAAAATTTTATTACTGACAGTTAGACGACGAAAAAAAAATGACATCAGCACATAAATGCTTTTGTAGGTGCTTTTGTTGCTTAATGTTTTGCCGATTAATACATTTTAAAATACATCGAAATTGATACAAATTCGATATTCTTATGTTTGTTTTGATATTGGTATATCGATATATCGCAATTAAAATATTGATGATATATTTATGAAAAAATATCGATATTTTAATATAGCGATATTTTTACTCAAGCCTAACTGTCATATCATACTGTCAAACTCTCATCTGTCATACCTAGAAACCACATGCCCATAGGGGTGTCCACTTTGAAAATACATCGATGTTTTTTTTCGATGTGATGTATCGAGACTGTGCATCAATATATTTCGATGCATCAGTTAGAAACATCGATGTTTTTGCAACATCGAGTACTTTTTATGACTACATTATAAATTTGTAGTCAGCTTCCTGACATCCCATTCAAACAACCGACAAGTTTGAATGATCTACTCTTACATCGGCACTGTCTTTGTCCGCACGCCTTTTGTGTATGTGTGTGTGTTCAAGGATGTTAGACAGTTAAATAGATATTCTTTATTGCACAAAACAAAGTATCTTAATCTTAAGAACTAATATATTATGGTTAACAGACGTAATATGTTCATAGTTATTTATATTTGTTTATTTATTGTTTTTTTTTTAACTTTTATGCACAAAAGAAAAATCGTACAAATGGCGGACTTAATGCCTTAAGGCATTCTTTCCCAGTCAATTTATATGTACTACTAGCTGACCCGGCAAACGTTGTTTTGCCATATATATTATTTCTAGGAAATATTTTTACTTTTAAAAATCGCGATTAAAAAACAGCTAAATGCTAAATCATAACAAAATAAAAGTAAAAATTTTTGGCAAAAAAATTAAAAAATATATTTAGACGTGGGTCACCCTTATCATTTAGGGGTTTGAAATTTTTTTAAATACTAGTAATGCTATTACTAATTTTAAACAAACATTACTAATATTCCCTTTAACCACTTCTGGTAAGCTTAAAATGCTTGTGTTAGAAGTGGTTCACGACAGTAGTCAAATGGCGGATTCGAACCCACGACGATATTATCCATTTAGTAGTAGGTCAAAGTTTATGATATTATTTTAGTAGAAAAAAAGCATGCACCACATTAAAAATATTTACATATGGAATGTAACTCCATCATTTTGTAAATTTTAAATATTTTGACTGCTTTATGTACACGTTAACCGTACCGATCGGCATGTTTTAAAGAGCACCTACTTCGGCGGAGACGATTCTTGTAATGGTAAATTCGGTTTCGTAAACAGCTTTTATAAATGAATAAGCTTTTAAATACCTAGGCAGAGGGGAATAATTATGCGAGATGAGTCCACTGGGTAAAATGGTCTAAAAGCGGCTATTCACTTGCCTGCCGCAGGGGCAATCTTGTGTGTAGGATTGGGGATGACCCTTAATTGCCTCCTTAATTGTGATGTGTGTATGACAGCAGGGGCAATTTTCTAAGTCGGTCCTGCGGCGGAGCGATATGGGCGCAAGACCTTCCTTGCTCCCTAGATCATAGCTACCGCTGCCACGTATGTAGCGCAATTGGGGTACTTTCAATCAGTTCGTTAGCAACATTCACGCGCAGTACACGTTTTAGTGGATACCAATAAAATATGAAATTTGGACACTGGTGATAGAAGTGTATAAAGAGCGGATTCTTCACCCAGTATCTCCTTTTTGTCTTTTTTTGCGGTAGCACCGCAGAAAGAACATTTGAACGTTGTAACGTTTCTAGACGTGGTAGAGTCATACTGCATCTTTTAACAACTGTGTTATGGGTGTAATTATTAATTAATTAGTTGTTTTATCAATAAATATGGGTTTTATGGGCTACAGTGTCCACTTAACATCCTTATACATCATTTGTCACCCTTATTTTATATAAAAAAGAGCCAAGGCTATATTTACTGATTCATTTATATTTTGATAAAACTAGCACCATTCTCAACGCGTGTGTCCAGCGAGACGTACACTCTCACATAGAACGGCAGACATGTGTGTAGAGACAGTTCTGCTATTGCCCCGATCGCTGTTCGTCCTAGATTGCCCCCGCGGCATGAAAGTGAGTAGCCGCCTTAAGACCGAGACAGACCAGATGATTTTTCTTAGATTCTCTTTAATACACAACCAGCCAATCTCAATTTTTTGATTCCGCTAAGGGATTGACAGCTGCCAACTAGCGCCACCAACAGGTTTAAATGTTATAACTTCTAAATCAGAGCATGTTTTAGTTTTTCTGATATAGACATTATAATATTAATAGTGATAGATAAATATACCTTTTTACAATTGACTGGTTATCATTGATTCGATGTTTTATGAAAATACATCGATACATCGAATATATCAATAACTTTCCAAAACATCGGATCCATTCGATGCATCGTATTGTAAACATCGAGTGAATTCGATGCATCGATGTATATCGAATATCCCTACATGCCCACATGTGAAAATATGTAATTCATAAATAGCCTACATACTAAGTAAGTTTGAAGAATTTGATTATTAAAAGTTTTTTAATAAATATAGAGCAACAGAGTAATTATGCGAACACATTAATCATAAGTGAAAATGCCGGATATGAAGTACATTTTAGTTACTGGCGGCGTCATTAGCGGTGTCGGAAAAGGTGTTATTGCAAGTTCCTTCGGCACAATTTTAAAAAGCTGCGGGATTGATGTTACTTCTATAAAAATTGATCCTTATATCAATATAGACGCTGGTACTTTTTCCCCATACGAACATGGTAAGCTGGTTTAATATAGAAAACGACGTTATCGTAGTCTCGTGTGTGCGAAGGCGATTGCACCTTGCATTTCTATTTTTATTTTCTAGGTGAAGTTTACGTGCTTGATGACGGTGGCGAAGTAGACCTTGATCTTGGCAACTATGAACGCTTTTTAGATATCACGTTGCATCGAGATAATAATATCACCACGGGAAAGATTTATCAACAGGTCATTGAAAGAGAAAGGCGTGGTGATTACCTTGGAAAAACAGTACAGGGTAAGGAGTATTAGTTAAAAATAATAATTACATATTTTACCAGAATCCAAACCTTACAATTAGTGGTTTTATTAAAATGTTATCACTGTATGGTTTTCAAACTGACAGTCTACAACTAATTTTCATTGCTTAATGTTATAGAAAATAAAGCTACATGATTGTCTACTTGGTGGACATTTAATAAACTAACAGTTTTTTAACTTTCTTTTTTGTTGATAAATACAAAGTACACTGTTAAACTAGTTGATTGCCCTGTAGGTCTCTTAGTTGTAAATGTAACATGTTGACTGCCCTGTAAGTCTCTTAGTTGTAAGCGTAACATAACTGCTGACCATGTAGTGGAATGGGTGGGAGGTGGCAGCTGTTTCCCCTCCCACCCTTTCCTCTACCAAGGCATCTAATTTTGTTTTTTTAAAGTATTACTCTAAAAACTGATTTTTAATAAGAAATTTGAAAAAAGCTATGTAGACTCATAGCTTTTTAATAGTAGGGAAAACATATTGACAAATTTAAATGTAATAAGGCAAATAATGAAAAGAATTATTATTAAGTTAAAATTAATATCCAAATATACTTAATGCTTAGTGAAACTAAGAGAATATTGTTGTCAACAGTTATACCCCATATAACGGATGCTATACAAGAATGGGTGCAAAGGGTTGCACATATCCCAGTGACACCGGAGAACACGCCACCAAAGGTGTGCATTATAGAATTAGGAGGAACCATTGGGGACATAGAAGGAATGTCGTTTGTAGAAGCGTTTAGGCAGTTCCAATTTAGAGTAAAAAGGGAGAATTTCTGCTGTGCTCATGTCTCATTAGTTCCAATGGTAAGAAATTATATTAATTTAAAAGTAATTATAGTAACAGACTACAAACATTTCATTGCTAAAGCAGATGAAAAAAGCTGGTAATCAGGGAATAATAAATGTTTACTTGCTCTGCTGTAATTTTTTGAAAAATTGTGGTTCACCCCTTTGCAACTACAACATCAATTTCTGAGAGGGTTAAATATGTATAACATATTAGTAGTCATCTTAAATCGTCAAATTTTTTTTTTATTGATAAGGCATACAGATTTTCCACTGGTTTCCTTCACAAGGTAAATCAACACAGCAATTTGTAAATTTCAATTGCTATTTTACTGTTGTTGGTGCCAGGATATCTCAGGTTATTTACTTCTCTGCTATATCTTTCATTGCATTATGAAAATTTATGTGAATTATATTCATATGTAACTAATATATGTACATCCAAGTATTTAAAGATGGGTCTTTGTATCAACACATTTATGTTCAAGGATTTAGTTCAGTTGCATCCAGGGTTGGATGATTTAAATCAGACTGATTTAAATCACGATTTAAATAGCCTGATTTTGATTAAAAAAAATCATTGATTTAAATCAACATGTATAAATTAATGTAATAGGCAAAAAATGAAATTAAACTGGCTTAAAATTAAGTAAAATCTTTTGTTGTTTTATGTTATTCTTATTATTCTACTACAATAGTCTCATAAACTTTGGAAAATCAACAAAGACGTAGTGATGAGATCTGTCAGTTTTAAAACCAAATTTTTTATTTTTTAGAAATTCACTCTTAATATGTATATGAACTGTAATTAATACAGTATGTATTAATTATTATACTCTTAATCAGTTTCATACATATCTATACAAATAAATAAAATTGAAGTGTCTGTTTGTAATGTCAAAATTATGGCTTTTTACTAAATGCATATGAAAGTATATACGATATGTATAACAAAAATACATTTTTTTTTAATTTTTGTCTGTCTGTTTGTTCCGGCTAATCTTTGAAACGGCTGGACCGATTTTGACGGGACTTTCACTGGCAGATAGCTGATGTCATAAGGAGTAACCTAAGCTACTTTTATTTTAGAAAAAGAATTAGGGTTCCGTGCAAAAAAAAACTAAAACCCCAAATAACACGCAGGCGAAGTCGCGAGGAACAGCTAGTGTATTCATAAACTTTTAATCCTACTATGTAAAAAAGTGTTACCAACTCGTGTATTTCCAAATATACAAAAAAATCAAAAAAAAAAAAGTCATAATTTTTTCCATCCCTGGTTGCATCACAAATAGTACTGAGTCAATATACAATTTATTTAAAATAAAGTAACTTTTACTCTTTAAAGTATACATGTGCTAGTGTGTTATCTTTGCCACACCAAGATCTACTATTCTGATGGATGCAGTGGCGAAAGGTTGCAGCATCTTCGTTTCGAATAATGAATATAAATTATGCAGATGGTGTGCTATAAAATAAACCTTTTACTGTCCTTTTGTTTAAATTAACGTAAAAGTAACAAAAGTTTGTATGTGGATATGGAGACTCACCATAAGACTGTGATTTGAGTAAGGCTTGACAATGTGTGTAAATTGTATAAAGCTTTAGAACTTTTAAAAATTGGTAATGCTATTATGTTTTGTGTTATAAATTGTATATTATATAATTACTATGTAAACTTAATTTCATTCTTTGTGATATGTTTTTGTTATTTATTTATATTAATTGCAATTACAACTTTGGTATAATTTTTTGTCAGCCAAAATCAACAGGTGAACCTAAAACTAAGCCTACACAGTCATCAGTACGAGAATTGCGAGGACTTGGTTTATCACCAGACTTGATCTTGTGCCGTTCAGAAAAACCAATAGGCCATACAGTCAAAGAAAAGATCTCAAATTTTTGTCATGTTGGACCGGAACAGGTATTTTGTTATAATTTATTTAATTAATCTATATCTTTCTAATCATTTTTTTATTTCAGATTTAGGTACACCTTTATCATACTGACTACAACACTTCTATAATAATAATATAATACCAGTGTAAAATAGCAGCTTAATGCTGCTGTTTCGTATGGTGAGTATAGAGAACCGGAGACTCTTTTTACTGGAAATGAGGCATTTCATCTTAGTCCTCACGGGTGACAATGCATCTGCATTTTGATTTGTAAACGTAGATGTCTATGGGTCGCAGCAACCACTTACCATCAGGTGGACTGTGTGCTCGTTTGTTACCCTTATCCTATAAAAAAAAACTTCTCTCGTTTGTCCAAATGAATGTTTTTACCCTCAATTATGTATACCCTCTAGTGCTTTAAATAATTTTTGTTACATTTGTATATTAAAATATCAATTATGTTACAATTATTTTCTATGGTAATTTAAATAATAAAAAAGGGTATGACAAAAGATGCTAGAAGGAAAAAACTGCCCATCCGAAGAGTTGTTGTCTCTTTAAATGTTTACTCAGTTTTAGAGCCTTGCAAAATATTTAAACAATGGCAAGAGACCCTACACTATGGCTTTGAGTTCTCGAAAAACCCTAGTTTAGGATGCTACTTATGTAGACACTTTTGCAGCCTCTCATTTCAGGGATACCTCTTTTAGAGCTGGGACGGCATCAGAGGCATCTGAACTATTTAAGTAGTGCAAATATGAATCTCTGAAAGATTACATATTTGTGCCATTTGCTGTAGAAACTTGGTCCGTGGGGTCCATATGTGATGAAGTTCCTTAAAGAACTTTGTCTGCAACTAATTGTCGCTGCTGATGATAAAATTCTTGATACGATACTGTGTGGAGTAGGATTGTGTGATCATTTTTTAGTTTTAGATTTTTTATTATAGTTTTTTAATATTTTATATTATACCAAAATAATTTTAATTAAAAAGTAATACCACTCAATTGTGTCATAGAGGCAGCTTGCTACTTATATATATATTTCAATCTTATATCACTGGTAATATAAGAATACCTGTTAGTATTTTTAATTAACATGTAAGGATTACTAAAAAAAAATTTTTAGTACATTGCACTTTACCCTGAATTGTACAATGTTGTCAAACACATCCTCTTTCTCAGATGTGAAGATTTACTTATGATATTTTTGTTTTATCCTTGACCATGTGGTAAATCAGCACATAAAATATGATTACCAAATTCATTGCTTGTGGCAGAGCTTACATACTAATTGTTCACAAAATATTGTGCGTTTCATGAACTGTTTGATAAATGCTTAGGCAATAAGCTAGCATGGCTCCCTTAATAACAATAATTAGTTATTTAAACTAATTTCTCAGCTTCTTAATGAAAGTAATTTTCTTCCAACTAGGTTATTTGCATTCATGACTTGAGCTCAGTTTATCATGTGCCTCTACTCATGGAAGCGCAGGGTGTTGTACAGTATTTGAATGAAAGGCTTCAGTTAAATATGTCTGTGCCCCGGCCTGGAAGGTAAGACTTTCTTAATTTGTTTTTTTTTTTGATGGTTGTATCTAGGATTCATTAAAATGATGAATTTTGGTCAAAATTTCATTTTATGCATGCTACAACAATAAGGCGTTAATTTACTACACGAAAAATATCTTGCGGGAAACCTGCATCTTTGACAAATTATAAAAGTGAAAGTATAAGGGAGTTATTACACCAATCGATCGATTGTCAATCGATAGAATCGATCGATGGTGGAATAGATTCGTCGAAGTCAATTGGGCTGCTTGGTTATTTGAGAATCCCCTCCTTCTATTGACCGCTCTCTACTGTCCTATTTTGATTCCTTTTTAAAGATACTGAACAACGTTTTATCAACCAATATCCGTCGATCAGCTAAAGCTACCATCGACGATCGACCACCAAGCTATCGATCGATGATCAATCGACTGGTGTGATAACACCCTAACTTTCCAATTTGCACCAGAATTGTACATTCTTTGTGTAATACTCTTAAAACAGTAGTGAGGTATATAAAATGTGCTTACTACTGCATTTTGCAGCCAACAATATAACCAACAAAACAAATGTATTATGGGAATATGAAATCAATTTGTCAAGTCTTTTAGAAAGTATATGGTCACTAATAGACACCATCTATTGCATATACAAAAATATTTCTTTGTCAGTGCATCATCATAATCATCAGCCTGCGGCAGTCCACTGCTGGACATAGGCCTCTCCCAAGGCGCGCCACTTAGCCCGATTGTCGCTCCATCTGGTCAGGGGGCGTCCCACTCTACTTTTGCCTAGACATGGTCTCCACTCCATAACACGTCGCCTCCACCGGCTGTCACCCTTGCAACAGACGTGGCTAGCCCATTGCCACTTCAGTGGCGGATTTCTTCGTTTCGAATTTTATCCACTAGAGAAACTCCGAGCACAGCTCTTTCCATCGCTCGCTGAGCGACTTTGAGCTTGTGGAGTAGCCGTAACGTCAGTGTCCACGTTTCGGCACCATAAGTGAGTATGGGCAGGACATACTGGTTGAAGACTTTTGTCTTCAGACTTTGCGGTATGGCCGACGAGAAAACCCGACGAAGCTTTCTAAATGGTGGCCAGCCTAACTGAATCCTCCGATCGGCTTCCTTCTCGAAGTTATTCTTACCTAGTTGCAATATCTGCCCGAGGTAGGTATATTATTCCTGGACAACTTCGAGAATTTCACCATGAACAGTAATTGGAACTGGCATGACGTGATCTTAGAAAATAACTTTCGTCTTGTTCAGATTCATACACAGACCAACACGTCGGGAAGATTCATTCAGTCTGTTCAGCATGTCCTGAAGTTCTTGCAGCTATTCTGCCATGACGACGATATCATTAGCAAAGCGTAAGTGTGGGATGTATTCACCGTTTACGTTAATGCCGCGTCCTTTCCAGTCTAGCCTCTTAAAACATCCTCCACCACATTTGTAAACAGTTTAGGGGATATAACATCCTCCTGTCTCACTCCGCTATACAACTGGATTGGTTTTGTTTCACTGTCCTGTACTTGAACGGACATCGTACTGGTATTGTAAAGATATCTCAGCACTTCGATGTACCGCCAGTCAATTTGGCACCACTGCAAAGAATCCAGAACTGCCCAAGTTTCGATGGAGTCAAAGGCTTTCTCATAGTCCACAAATGCAAGACACAGGGGCTGATTATACTCTGTTGTCTTCTGTATTATTTGCCACAGTGTGAATCTGGTCTATAGTGCCAAATCCTCCTCGAAACCCAGCCTGTTCCGCAGGCTGAAAGTCGTCGAGTCTACGCGTGAGTCGATTTGTGATAACCCTCGAAAACAACTTATAAACGTGGCTCAGAAGCGAGATGGGTCGATAATTTTTTAGCATAGTCTTGTCACCTTCCTTGTGAAACAAGACTAATGCTTCTGCTCCACGTCTTTGGAGTTCTCCCATCTCGTAAGATGCAGTTAAAAATCGGCAGAGCTCTTTTAGCAAGGGTTGACTCCCAGCCTTTAAGAGCTCTGTTGTAACTTCATCTTCTCCAGGGGCTTTTCCATTTTTAAGCTGGCCCTCGGCCGGCAGCTCGTCGGTATAGTGGCGGGTCAGCGTGGCTCTAGGATCATCGCATTTAGGGTCAGGTTGGCAGGTGGCTTGTGTGAGGCATATAGTTTGCCATAATAGTCTTCAATCTCAGAGAGAACCTCAGGCTTTGACGTGAGGACTTTGCCATCATGCGTCTGCAGTCTTGCGATGTGACTTCTCCTAAGCTCCTGAGCAGACGTGAGAAGTGGCAATGGGCGGGCCATATAGCTCGAAGAACCCACAATCGATGGGGAAGAAAGGTTCTCGAGTGGCAATTTCGTACCGGCAGGTGAAGTGTATGGCGTCTCCCCCACTAGATGGAGTGACGACCTGGTAAGGCATGCAGGAAGTCAATGGATGCAGGTGGCTCGGGACCGCGCATTGTGGCATTCCTTGGGGGAGGCCTATGTTCAGCAGTGGATTTGTAAATGGCTGTAATGATGATGATGATGATATAAATACCGAATATTGAGCTGATTTGCATGCTGTGAAAACATTAATAACAATTTTTAAACATTTTGCCTGTCTGTCAGTCCGTATGGGTTAATTTTCGGAATGGCTGAACCGATTGTAATGTAACTTTACAAACAGATAGTCAGCAATGCCAGGAGCGATTTACATTTTGGCGATTAAGAAAATATATATGGTGTCCGTGTTTTGTGCAATTATCTTAAATTTAAATAACGCCATATTAATAGAACAAAGGCGAAGCCAATGCGGGTCGCTAGCTCTACATATTATTACTTATTAAAAATGAGTTAATAATCTTGTTACATTATTTCTCGCTCATTACATAACGAGGCTAATGCTTAACATAACATTGAAAATGACATATAATATTTCATAAAAATGTATATGTTTATATTCATAGATTTATGCAGAAATGGCGTAACCTAGCAAAGAGAGTCGAAAATTTGCGTAGAGAAGTAAACATAACACTAGTTGGAAAATACACAAAATTGGAAGACAGCTATGCAAGTGTCACGAAGGCTCTTCAGCACGCATGCATCGCTGCCGGTTATAAGCTCAACTTGACGTACGTAGAAGCGGTTTCTTTGGAAAAGCAGACGAAGATTGACGATCCAGTGAGCTATCATAAAGCTTGGCAGGAACTCTGTAAATGCGAGTAAGTGTTCAAATCAATTATTTATTCTATCTGTTTTACTCTATAACATAAATCTTGTTAATCTGTACATAATAACACTGTGACCAGAATGTAAAATGATTGACAAGTACAAAAAGGTTTCCTTATATTATGAAGCCAATAATTTAAAATTAAAAATTTTGTACAGCCGACTTCAATATAAGTTATTAAGAATAACTCAACAACTATTGGTCTGACCTTGATCAAATTCATATGGGACCCCACGAGAAGTATCAGCTTTCAAATAAAAAAAGAATCATCGAAATCGGTTTACAAAAAAAACATACAGTGGAATTGAGTACCGTCGTCTCCTTTTTGGAAGTCGGCAGAAAAAAGATTTATAACTTATGTCTAGTTATTTATTATATTTATTTAACACTTTATGTACACCCAAAAAACGGAACGGACACGTCATGATGAAGAGTTTGTACAAGAACACTGCTTATTTTTTAATGAAATTTCTTGTAGGCAGTTCGTCATCATAGTCCATATCTAAAGTCCACTGATGAACATATCCTCATAGATTGCCTCATAGTCATAGGGATATTTGCCATAGTTGACACGCATGGTAGGCGGGTTGGCAACCACAGTTTTTTATTTTTAGTTGTTATTAGGAAGATCCTGTTGCCCATCTCATAGTTTGTTGTCCCTCTGTCGGCTCCTACGACAACCACGAGATGATATGGGCTAATGCATATTAGCATCTTACACCACCACTGCATGGTCAATATACTTATCTAATATAGAATTAAATTTGTTTATTTCAGACGATTACATCCATGGAATTGTTAGTGAAAGAAAGGATTATAATCTATGTTAGTAATTAGTATTGTATTGAATTCGCCACAAAAAATTAGTATATAGTAATAATAATAATTATATTATAATTATAAATAAAAATATAACACAGTAACCAAGCTAACTAGCAGATCACACTCTATGTAAAAAAACTTCCAGATAGGAGAGCCGTCGTTCTCCACAACATTTTTCTAGATGATGTTTTGGAGCTATCTTGTACCCTGTTCATCAGGAATACTGACTTTATAATAATAAATCATATAATAAAATAATAATAATTTTATAAGTACATATTTAGGAATCCCATTATGCAATAGAGTTATGCTGCAGCTATATTATGGTTTGTACACTAATGGGTCGGCTCGACCAGAGTAGAACCACGCTCTCACAGAATACCAGTATAAATAGCAATTTGATGCTGCTGTGTTTCGTATGGTGAGTGTAGAGAACCGGAGACCCTTTTTACTGAATACGAGGCATTCCATCTGAGTCCTCACGGGTGACAACGCATCTGCATTTTGTTTCTTAATCGAGGATAAATGTGAATGTCTATAGGCCACAATATCCACTCACCATCAGGTGGACTGTGTGTTCATTTGTCACCCTTATTCTATAAAAATGTTTTTTTATCATGGTCATAAATATTGTATATATTTGAATGTAATAAAATTTATGTATTTAAACTGGGTACATGTTAGATCCAATAAAAAGCCGTAATTTAGGTAAATACGTGTATTGTGATAGGTAGCAAAACTAACGACAAACTGATTAACTTACCTAACATTATTTCTTAACAACGTTATGCAAGTACCCACCTTTATAAATATTTATGACAATCTATGATACCGGGTGTCCCGTGGCAGATTTAGGATTTCTTGATTCAATTAAAGAAGGTTATTCTTTTAGAATTTACATGTATTTGTCATAAAAAGAAAGACTTTAACAGTGGTAGAGCCACCCGGCAGCTTTTGCTGTCGCACGGATGGACCGGCTCGAACCGGGGTAGTACCACGACCTCACAGAAAACCAGCGTGAAGTAGAAGTTTACCTCTGCGTTTCGCTTGGTGAGTGCAGGTGGTCGGAGGCCCTTTTTACTGGAAATGAAGCATTCCATCTTAGTCCTCACGGGTGACAACGCATCTACATTTTGATTTGTAACAGAGGATAAATGTAGATGTCTATGGGCCGCAGCAACCACTTACCATCAGGTGGACTGTGTGCTCGTTTGTCACCCTTATCCTATAAAAAAAAAAAACGAGATATGCGGATTTTATTTTTTGAATATCACTCCGTCCAAATGTTTTCCATCGCGACGTACACACTCGCGGAATCTTTCGAGAGTATTCTGAGCGACGCGCTGCAATACTGACCGAGGAAATAGCTTTCACTTCTCGCACGATATTTTCTTTTAAATCCGATAGATCCGTCGGGTTGCTGTCGTACACTTTTCCCTTTAAGTAACCACATAGAAAAAAATCAAATGGGGGGAGTCTGGCGATCTGGGTGGCCATGCGATGTCCCCAAATCGGCTAATCAATTTTCCGGGGAATTCTTCGCGAAGGAGACTCATGGTGGTTCTTGCTGTGTGCGGCGTGGCGCCATCTTGTTGAAACCACGTGTGAGAGCTGTTCGATGGATGTTCGCTAAAATATTCACTAAGCGCATGCTTAAAAATATACGCTAGACATCACCATCAACAGTTACGGTTACTCCACGAGAATTCTCAAAGAAAAACGGTCCAATTATTCCATTGACAGAAAGAGCTGCCCAAACAGTTACTTCTGGGGTATGCAATGCTTGTTGGTGTTTTAATCGCGGGTTTTGTCCTCTTGGCGCCCAATAGCGGCAGTTTTGTTTATTGACAAAACCATTCAAGTGAAATTAGCTTCATCACTAAACCAAATTGTATTAACAATACGGAATCGGCTCAACATGTTATCACAGAACTCTTTGCGTTCTCTGTAGTCATTTGGTTTAAGTGTCTGTACCAATTGGATCTTGAAGGGGTGGAATTTAATGTCCAAGCTTGCACGTGCACCGTGGTTTTTGGAAGCCGCAAACTTGACGCTCTCTTGCGCACGGACTGGCGGGGATTTTCTTGCACGCTGTTTGCAACGCGTTCAATGTTTTGGGCAGTCCTCGACGTTCGGCTAGGACCTGGGCGTGGCTTGTTAACTGTTGAACCTGTTGCACGGAACTTCTGGACCCACGTCAAAAATCAAACTTTCACTCGGTGCTTCACTTAAGCGACGAATATTGTAGTGAGAACAAAATCTCCGGCGAGCAACAGTGCACGATTTATTATCTTCAAAATACGCTTCAACTGCGAAAGCGCGGTGCGCGCCAGTCCACTGCGACATCGTGACTGACCAATCCGCACAAATGCCGCGCCAAACTGTCACCCCTCCCCGGTCCCCCGCGCAACCATTGCAAAAATATTCGAATTTCAAATCCTAAATCTGCCACGGGACACCATGTTTAACATACCTTTCCCTCAAGTATGTACATACAATATTAATTATTAACAAACTCAACAACCAACATCTAATACGGGTGTTGAGTTTGTCTAATCATCTAATAAACTAAGTATGTATTTCTATTATAACCAGTAAACTTAAGCTATAAAATTATTACTAGGTCTCTCATATGGTGACTTAGAACGAACATTCATTTTATTCCTAATTTTTCCCCCAGAATAAGTTATTTCCGTATTAATTGGTATACTTAACATTTCCGCCCATTTATCCTGACTAGGCATTTCAATAAATTCTTCTCTTACATCATTATCGGTCTTATCTTTTCCTAAGTTATAGTCAATAATTTACTCTGCTAAGTCATTGTTTAATATTTCACTATTATCTACAATATCTTGCTTCTCGGACATCTCTTCATCAATTCAATCATGTCAGATTGTCTTCTGTTAATTACTTGATTAATATGTCTCTTTATTAAAGATCCAACTTCTGTAGCAATCTCATAACTAGATGGTTCCATCCCCAGCCTTTCTTTAATTCCCTGTTGATTTTTTGAGCTAATAATTTGTTGTATTCTCTTTCTTTGCTTGCGATTATCAGGATGTAGTGTATAAGTTCCGCCGGATTCTTTTTAGTCACTGTACAAGGTATAACACGCACACCTAGTAGCTATGGAGTTTGATATCCCATGGGATATCATACATTTTTTGTAGTTTATCCTTAATGGTTTGAAGCATCCTTTCAGTCAAACCATTGGTAGCCGGGTGATATGGTCCTGTAGTGACATGTTTAATTTTATTGGCTTCAAGAAGTATTGTCATTTCTGTCTTTTTTCAACAATTGATACTGCAACTTCTTATCACTCATACCACACACAAGTCTGTCACGAAGCATGCGTTCCAAGTCCGTAAAATTGCACCCTGCAATTATTTTTCTAATATGTGCGATATATTCTGATACTGATCCATTTTCTTTTTGATCGCGTTTATAAAATTGAAACGACACTGAAATCTCGTTTGGTTGGTCTCTCTCAATTTTCGCGAATGTCACATCACAAGATTTTCTAGGCGTAATTAATGCCAAAACAGTCTCATATACATTTGCACCACAAACTGTGTAAAAATTCGCCTTTGTACCGCGTCTGAGACGATTCCATTCGTCTCAAAACAGTACTTCAGTCGTTCTATATAATTGTCCCAATTATCACTTTGTACATGAAATTCGTGAAAATTCACTGATTTATGTTCCATTGTTCCACATTTTATACCTCGTCGCCACTGTTAGATCCAATTAAACGCCGTAATTTAGGTAAAAAAGTGTATTGAGCTAGGTAGCAAAACTAACGACAAACTGGTTGACTTAACTAACATTATTGCTTAACTATTTATGACAATTTATGATAATTTATGATATAACAGTACACCTATACCTGTTCATGAGTTAAAAGTCTTGACAGATGGATGACCACAAAATGATAAATAAATAAATAAAATAAAAATTGTTTATTTTGGACAACAAGATCCATAGAATTTCTTAGTAAAGAAAAACTTACACCTATGAATATATTACAAATATGGATAAGGATTCCGTTTTTTCCTTTCAAGGCGTAAGCCATTTAAAAAGTGTGTAAAATGAAACTGTATGAAAAAAATATTATAATGGAGAATGTAAACTTTTTTTACATTGTAGTGGCGTAATAGTCCCGGGTGGATTCGGCCAAAGAGGAATGGAGGGCAAAATCGAAGCATGTCAGTGGTGTCGAGAAACACAGAAACCTATGCTGGGCATCTGCCTGGGCTTGCAGGCCGCAGTCATAGAGTTCGCTAGGAATGTTCTGGGACTGAAAGGTGCAAACAGTACCGAGGTGGACCCGCAATGCGAGGACAAACTTGTCATAGATATGCCTGAGTATCATCCCGGTATTCTCGGCGGGACAATGAGATTAGGAAAACGCAAAACCTACTTAGAACCGGGTTTGGTATGTAAGTATATAATTTACTATAATTCATTTTACCTTACGTATGACTAGAAAGAATTGTAAAATGATCAGTATTTACTAAAAAAAAAATGTCAATTTTTCTGCTGTTTGAGCCATTACCATAAAATTTTTAATTCTACCTAACTACACTACTTTCTTATATTATTAGATTGACAAACAAGCTAGCAGGCTGCAACCTGCTGGTAAATTCGTACAAATAAGAAACTTAACTTGACTGACATGTTGGTCTAGTTGTAAGCACAATTTCGGATCCCAGGTTGGGTCAAAATCAGTAATTTTTCAATCAGTTTTTCTGCCAAGAAATTTTCAGTAGAGTCAGGCAGTTGATGATGTTTCACCTCGAAAAGCCCGTGAAGCTCATTCCTGCGCCTGATATCTCTCCGGTCGTGTCGGATTGCCATCATCTCGGACTATGAGCGTGGGTGAATAGAGAGTGTACATGTGTTTGCACTTTGCGCGCGCACACACACACACACACACACACACACACACACACACACACACAGTTAAAATGGGCCACCATGAACGAGATTTGGTCTGGAGAACAATTATTATTATTATACAAATAAACAATTTCAAAGAAGGAGTTAATTTTTCATTTATATATGTTCAATTAATTATACTGAAAATTCATTTTACAGCTCAATTATACAAAAAAGATATAATAGAGGAGCGTCATAGGCACCGCTATGAAGTAAACCCGCAATACATTGAGCAGCTGGAAGCGGCGGGTCTGCGTTTTGTTGGCAAAGACGAGAGCAAAACGCGAATGGAAGTCGCCGTAATTGAAGGCCACCCATACTATGTAACTGTTCAGTTCCATCCGGAATACCTCTCAAGGCCGTTGTCACCAAGTCCTTTATTCCTAGGGTAAGTTAGGAAGTAGGAAGGACCTACATGGAACAGTCCACTGTTTATTAGTATTATTTAAGACTTCTAATAGGCTGCTATTGACTATGATATAGACTACAGAGAAGGCAAAATAAAATTAGATTATTAGAAAAATATATTTATTTTACACATAAACACTCATGCCTGTCACCCAGAGGGGTAGGCAGAGACTATGGACTTCCATTTGGCACGATCCTGACACACCTCCTCTCGCCTCCTCTACATCCATATACCTACGCATACACGCTCGGCGGTTAGGGGTACTCTTAATTTGACCCATTTTCAATATATCGCCAATTTGGTCGATAAACTTTCGCCTAGAGCGAACCTTCCTTACTCTGCCGTTCACCTCTACAACATAAATTTGCTTTGTCACTCTTTCTTCATTCATTCTTTCTACATGACCAAACCACCGAAGCATTCCTTTCTTAATCCTGGTCACAACATCCTCTTGCAAACCTCATTCTTCTCTTATCACACAATTTCTCACCCTGTCATTCAGATTCAGCTGAATCTGAATATTTATTTTAGTCAAACCTAATTTGGTTTCATTTTATGAATTGCACATAATTGCGTTTCTTTTATTGCAGGTTAATTCTCGCGTCACTCGGAAAATTGAAGAGCTACATGTCTAAAGGATGCCGTCTTAGTCCCAGGAACCAATCGGATGTTAGTTCTGGTCAGTACAATATTTTTAAAATAACCAAGTTTTTTGTTCATAAATATATTACGGGATTATTTTGCAATAACCGGTCAAATTTGCAAAGAAGTTTCAGCATAAGTAATTTAGGCGAATGGTGAAAAAAAAATTAATTAAAATAAATCTCAAACATTCTGTCCTTTTTGTCTTTTAAATACAAAGTGTACAAACACATTCGTAAGGGTTGATTGGTAGGCAAAAACGTTGTTGCCCATAAATCACATTCAATTTGGAATAATTTCAAATAAAAGTAGAATAAGTAACTCGTATTTTCAAAAACTGTAATAACGGTATATAATCTTTATATATAAAAATTACGTGTCACATTGCTTGTCCGCGATGAACTCTTAAACTACTGAACTGATTTCAATGAAAGTTTGCACACTGTGTGCAATTTGGTCCAACTTGAGAGATAGGATAGTTCTTATGCCGTTAAGTGACCCTCAATATTTTTTATTGGTAATTTAAGGATTTTTATAGGACAAAGTCGGAGAGGGCAGTACGACGTCTGCCTGGCCAGCTAGTTTTTTATATATTTAAACTAAAGTTTAAAATTTGGATAGTCATTGAAAAATAACTCTATAATATTGCCGTAATAACTTACTTGTCTCATACCTATTATACAAGTTACTTGGGGTATTGTGATTTTATTCCATCGATCACTAATAATTTTTATTAGTGATCGATGTTTTATTCATTGAAAAAGAATCCTAGGAAAAGAAGAGAAGAGCATTCTGCTGGGAAGCTGACCAGTATACATCGTGATAAGTCGTGTTGCTGTTTGTTTGCATACTTAATCCTTTATGATGTAATTTTTGTGTTTTGATTTAGAATAAATGTGACAGAGGAGAACACAGTACACCTGATGTTAAGTGGATGCTGTGGCCCATAGACATCTTTCCTCGATTAATAATCAAAATGCAGATACGTTTTCACCCATCAGGACTAAGATGGAATGCTTCGTTTCCAGTAAAAAAGGTCTTACTACATTCAGCATACAAATCATAGTAGCATTGAGCTGCTATTTTACGCACGTAGTCTGTAAGAGCGTGGTCCTTTTCCGGTCAACGGCTCTACCGCGTAAAAAATATGTAACGTTACGTTGTAATCGCCTTATGCTGAGTGTAGTGCGTTACGCTGCTAATAATGATTAATTGCGTAAACAAGAGAGCAAGTTGAACACATTATATTATTTTTGACAATAACCTCTTAGTGATTTGATCCTTCACATGTTAGAGTCATCTTGTAGTGTATTATGGCAGCATCACAAACGGATCTGCTCGAGCGGGGAAGGGCCACAACCGTAAAGAATACCACTGAAATACAAGCATAATGATGCCATGTTTTGTATGGTAAGTCACGAGAACCGGAGACCCTTTTTAACCGGTAATGTGGCATTTCATCTTAGTCCTCGGAGGTTACACAACGCAACATCTGCATTTCAGTTCTTAATTAAGGGTACATGTAGGCGTCTATGAGCCGCAGAATCCACTTGGTGTTCTGTATGCTGCTTATAACTTTAAAAAATTCCAATAAAAAAAAATCTAACTATTTTGGTGATGCGTACTGAGTTATCTCAGCAAAAGGCTCATACACTCTTGCCTTTGAATAGCTGTTTAGAATTTATATATTGTAAATATCTTAATATATTTTAAAATACCTCTTTAATATCTAATGTAAAATTTGTCGGAAACATTTATGGACCTGACAAATGACGACATGCAATTAGAGTCTGCAATGTTTAAATTTGGTTTTTAATAGGAGAACATGGTAGGAGGTCTGCTATGTGGAGGAGCGTTGCGGGCGACCTGCATTCCAGCGAGGTCTGCAGATGTTTCCAACTGGTTATAACGTACCCTGTATATAAAAGTAGAGTATCATACAGTAGTTTATGTCACGTATTGACCGTGTAGAAATAGATGATGTCAACCGCGATATTCGCGTACCTACATACATACTTTGATCTTATGTAGATGAGAAAGAGCGGTAGATCTTGGATGAGAAGAGCTAAGTTGATTTCATTATCGACCCAAGGAATCTAGAAATATCTGTGTATTGTCATGATAAGGATTTTTATATGTAAGCATTAGGTAAACATTGTGCTTACCTCATATAGTGTCCTTATTAAAGTTACGTTTATATTTTATTGTTTCAGATGAGGAAGAGCTCTCCGTGTCATCTCTTAGTTTAATAGAAGAGAAAACTGTTATTGAAAATGGAAAACATGTAAATGGTGTTAAGCATTAAAATATCTCTTTCGTTTATTAAATTTAAGTAATAGTATAAGTAAAAATGATAATTCCATATAAAACTTGAATCTGATAATGATTTGCTTCATGTTTCTGTGTTTAAAATGCATAAGATGCTAGAAATAATAGTATATTTGTGGGTAGCCTACATGTAAGCAAAATGTTTTAATGATATGTATTCGTACATACATATGTACATTTTTTGTAAATTTAAGAATTTGCAGACTTTTCTAACTGGTTAATTAGTAACAGGTTCATTATAAAAAGAACTTTATAGTAAAAATGCTTCTTAATTAGTTATGGCATTCCATTTTAGTCCTTAGGTGACAACATCTGCATTTTGATTCTTAATCAAGGATGGATGTAGATGTCCGTGGACAACAGCATCCACTTACCAGCAGGACTGTGTGCTCGTTTGTCACTCTTAATCTTTAAAAAAGACTTATTGTATATCAGAATCTTAAAATACCAGTGAAGCAAATGTTATTATAGCCACGTTTTTAATAAATGTGTACTACTTAATAGTAAGTGTAGCCACCTCTTATAGCATAATAAATAGTTACATTGCAGTCTGATCAAAACAAAAAATGTATAGTTTTAAGTAAGGAATACTAATATCTTCTATATTAATGGAAATACATTGTGAAACTGGATACGAAATTATTATATTCATTGTTCCAATTTAATTGGATGTTGAAAAAGAAATTTGTAACCATAAGTTTTAAATGTTAACTGAATCTAGCTAACAATTTTTTTAAATGTTGTATAGTAGCAAGTATGTACTGATTTCATATAAAATATAATTAAAGTAAAATAATATGACAGCATTTTAAACGAGTATAATTAGATGGGGGAGGGAGGGGTGGGAAAATATTTTATCACGCTGATCCTTTCTCCTCTTATGCTTGTTGATTAACGTTTCGTATCTTTGAAATACATAGTATTTCTCAATTCATCAGATGTCTCTGTGGTGTTCCCTTTTAAGATTATCTCACCGGGTACCATACTTATAGCCCTGACAACCGTGAATCTGTTGTTTGATCAACACTGACGTTAGTTACTTTAGTTAGTATAGACAGGTTTAACAAGATGTGATATCGTAGTTATCGAAATTCAACCAACTGTGTGGAAACAACGCTAAGTATTTTATTAATTTTTATTATTCATCACAGCCGATCCACTGCTGTACATAGGCCTCCCGTAGTTTCATAAGGGGCTTATTTGGCATAGTTGCCACGGTCGGCAGACAAGTCGGCATTTGAAGTTTTTAATTTTCTAGTTGTTAATGTAAAGACTTCTCTGGTTCTCGATCTTCTGACTTGTTTCCCTCTGTTGCCTCTTAACAGGACATACTTATACCGCCATCTTCTTACCTCATTTTTTTAACTTATTATAAGCCAGTGATTGACCACAATCCCACCTAGTGGTAAGTGGTGATGCAGCCCTAGATGGTAAATCGAAATGTTTTAGCGTAACAAAAGCCAATAAGCTCTCTTGCCTTGAAGACGGTCAGATTGTATTTGGACGGAAAGATAGACGCCGGCAAAATAATCCACTCCTTTTTTGTACGCATTACAAAAGACGAAGCAAACCGTTTGGTTCTAATGCGTGGAATATCGACAACAAAGTGGTGAAGACCCGCCGACCGTCTGATTGTCCCATGGTGGAAAGGAGAGGGAGGAATTAAAGCGTGTAATCCCTGCGCACACTCTCCGAAATGCATCCTATAGAATACCGAGAGACTGGCTACTTTGCGCCTGTGCTCGAGGCTGACAAGATTGGTTTCAACCAAATCAAGGTCACCAATGAGCCTCTTAGCTCGTCCAACGCTGCCAGGAACAGCTATAAACACAATTAATATACAATTTTTGGGGCAAGTTTGCATCCCGCTGGCTGATTAAGGTGGTTACCGACTCTTTTGCTGATGAAGTACTTAAGGCAATGAAATTCTTTATTCTACCATATGTGGTTGCCATCTGAAGCGGATCCCAGCTTTGGTTTGACCGTTCCTTTAAAATTTCATTACACCATTAGCAGGCGTGTTAGTTACCAAGCCTGGGCTGACACATCGGTGTCCCGGGATGCAAACACCATGCAGCCACCATAAAAATAAGTATAATGCTGCCAGGTCCTTCAGAGTTAATTCAAGGCAAGATCAGAGCACATAGAATTGGCGAGAAACTATTTCGCCTTCATTTGGAAACATCACTGCATAGGGTGAACAACTCGCTGCCTCGTGCCGCAAAAAATAAAACCGATTATTTAGATTATTAAGAGCCGATTAGGTCACCAGGTTTCTAACAAATCGGTGTAAGAATATCCTCTGCACCATATTGTCCCATGGGTATATTCAGACGCGACAGAGCAGCTGCACCTTCCTAAAACAAATTAAAATAATAGAAACTGCAGTCGCCAATCCACCTACCAACCGAGGCAAGATGGTAAAATCCCGCTATGCTTAAATCTACCGGGAAGGTCTATTTTCATCAGTATCCTTTTATATGCTGTAACGGATGGACGGCATGAAATAATTTCACTGATTTGGGATGATTACCTAATGTAATATTACCTGACTATTATTAAATAGTTTCAAATTATTATTATGATTATATAGATTAAAAAAATATAAGTGAAACTCCTCTTTAAATGTTGTTTACTCTGTCTGTGTTGTTCACCTACTGTAATAAGTAAGATTGTGACTTGTTTAACCCAATGTAAAACAAATTGTTTCAATTTTTCGTATAAATGTTGAATTTAATTTCAATATAATTTTTTGTTTTATTTATAATAAACTGTTATTAATAATACTGCTACAAATGAGAAGTCTAAACATCCAAGGAGCAACGTCGTCCTTCAGTTCGAATTCATGATTCTAGATCCAGAATTCGGACATCGCAAAAAGCCTTATTTGTAGGATAGGATTGTAGTCCGCGAGTGATTGCGCAAGCGCTCTCTCTTTCTCACTCTCATAGTGCAATGGGACTTTCAATCCGACACGATAAGAGAGACATCAGGAGCTACACCAACGGATTTTCGTGGTTTCTGACTACGAACTGCTGAGTTTCTAGAAAGGAAGACCTATTGTAATTTACAACTGTTACTGCCCTACCTGGGATTCAAACCCGGTACTACGTGACAACTAGACCAACAAAGTAGTTAATAACGAGCACTAATGAAGTATATCGCAGGCTACTAACTAGCTTGAGGTAATATGCATTTAGGAGTCTAATTCAGTGCCGTGCTTCTTGTCAGTTGTGGTGACTCTTAAGGCTCATTTACACGTATTAAATAGTCAAATGATTAAGTGCTTACACTTTTAAGTTCATTAGTTCACTTCCCATCCAATTACAGTCTACAAAAGTCCGCTACTGAACAATTGGTCTCCCTAATAGATTGTCTCATGACGATTTTGTCATAGTTGTCACACTTGGCAGGGTTGCTAGCTTGCTTGCTGCCCATCACGTGTTTCAATTTCTCTCTGTCGCCTCTTACCACATCCAAAACGACCATCTGGCGCAGCCGTTTTCCAAACAGCATACAGACAGTAATGCAACAGCATACAGACAGTAATGCAACAGCATACATACAGTAATGCAACAGCATACAGACAGTAATGCAACAGCATACAGACAGTAATGCAACAGCATACAGACAGTAATGCAACAGCATACAGACAGTAATGCAACAGCATACAGACAGTAATGCAACAGCATACAGACAGTAATGCAACAGCATACAGACAGTAATGCAACAGCATACAGACAGTAATGCAACAGCATACAGACAGTAATGCAACAGCATACAGACAGTAATGCAACAGCATACAGACATTAATTCCATCACAGATAGCCTCGGATTTGCAGGCGCTAATAGACTTAGCAGACTGCGTCCATAATATCCTCAACACCTAAGTCGTCGGTGTAGATTTCCCTCCAAATTCACCTTTACAAACATAGGCTAATCAAATCTGCAAACTGATAAAGCAGGTTGAAGCCCTCTTTATACGGGTTCACAGATCAAGATCTTCGATTCGCAACACCAGGCGTCAACGTAGGTTCAGTCGCTCCAGTTCTGATTATACGGTAGGCAATTTTCCGCGTGTTGCTATTACCACAAATTTGGAAACAAAGCAAATTCAAGCCGTAGATAATGGCGACAGTGATGACGACGAATACTCCGAACAACTGGTCCCTGTTTATTTTGAACCCGAAGAACGAAGATGCAGTTTCCTATCGATACTGACAGCGACTTCAGAGTCTTCCCATACAGCTCGCTCTGCGAACGTAGACCTACGTTCCATGGAAAAATGTCTACGTACACATTATTATATCCACCTCGCGGGTGCAAGGATGGGTTATGTCGCAATCGTACCGATTAAAAACCCCATAGTGGTACCATCTTCGTCGGTCGGAGTTAGGCGCGCCTTACCTCGCGACAGGCCTCCGTAACTCTTGCTAACTGCATGAAATAATTACGTACAATCGCAAAATTAAGATGTGCTATTTGAAATACATCTGTCCTCTCGGTATTCATTGGCTGTCATGGGGGAAAGGGGGGGGGGAGGTGTAGGCAGAGGTCTACGTACTTGACAAACACCATAGTATATTCTAATGCCTCATCCACACGCTTGGCAAACAGCATTCACCAAACAGCAATCACGAACGTGTGGATGGTTGTTTGTTTGTTTGTATGCCATTGATCGTCGTTGGTGTCGGTTTTTGTGCACCAATCAAAGGATGTTCGACAAACATGTTTACGACGTATCCACACGTTTGCCAATCAGTCAGTGGTACGCGCGAGCTTGCGGCTTACGGGCCAATTGCGGGCGGCGCAAGGAGTTACTAGTGGCTATTATTATTATACTCTACGCCAATGTTACCGATCCAAAATTTGTCTCGGAGGTAAATATGATTTCAGAAGTTGAGTTTCCTACCAATTCTAATTCGAAAAGTTAGTAGATCTACCACCTATATTTTTTTAAGTTTTCTAGAGACCTCCCAATAATAATGTGATTGACTCCTAATTAATGTTTCTATTGGGTAACAAATATTTCACCTCTTTTTATAAGGAGCCCCGTGTGAAAGCAGGATCATCAATTCCCAATATAAAATACCAAAAAAATTATATAAGATTAGTATATCCTGCTAATATAAATTATGACGTATTGTCAATCTCAACGGTATATATTAAATAAACAAATATTAGATCACTACACTATTACATTGGGTTAATCCTGTAATAATAGTTGTATTGAGAATATAAATAAATAAATCAATCTTACGTTCAATTCAGAATACGAAAGTTTTGAAACTGTAATTGCTTTAAGATATAGTGAAGCAACAGTCAAAAGTGAGCGAAGAGACGAAGGAAAGAGCACTTGATTGGAGCTTTAACTCCTTTCTTTTCAGAACACGTATACGACGTGCACCAGAATATTATACTGAGTTCGTGCAACGAGCTAACGTTTTTTCGTAACGACAGCAATCTGCACATAAGCACTCCATCCGTGCGTCCCTGGGTCGACGCATGTATTTTTTTTCTCCTCTGCAGAGATTAACGAAACCACCAATGATTTTTTTGTCCAGCCCATGCTGTCCCACTACTGGACAGAAGTCTCCCCTAAGTTTTTCCCAGTGGTTTTGTCCTGCACCACATCGAACCAGCTCCAACGGTATGCGTCCAGGTTGCGTGAATTATGTCATATATATAGACTTTATAGCGGCTGGGAAGTTAGTTGCGACCGCAAGTCCTGTACCTTCACGCTTCGCTTTACGTACTGTGATATGAGACACCATCACGTTTTCTTTCAACTGTATCTGCTCGCTCTTAACTTCCAAGCCGCCATAAAGATTCGACAACACCTTTCTTTCGTAGTAATGGTCGGTTACCAGTTCAAGTCACCATGAACGTGCAGTAGACTTACCTTTATCTTGATTTATTTAAAGTTTGTGGAGCATGTGTTCTTTCATACATAGTTACTAGTCGTCATCTCTCTTTTTTTTGATAATAAAGATTATTTATTTATTTATCTCAGTAATCTAATCGAGTTGAGCAGCCCCTTTCTAACCAACCACCGTTCACACTATCCATTAATCATTGAACTATCCTAACGTATTCCTCAATCTTCAGCATCCCATGTTCATACCATATGACAACCAATTTCCATGCAACATTTCGATCAATAGGGGTGGCTGCGCCACTTCAAGACTTCCAATTGCATACTCATTTCTCATTATATCCCATTTGTGTAACACCACAAAATATCAATTTTATACTGTTTACAACCTGCACGTTGTAATGACTTCCACCAGTAGCGTAATTAGTGGTGGATACTGGAGGTAAACGAGAGAGTAAGGATTAAAAATAAATAAAATAACAATAATGTATACTGATTAAAATCATTTATTCGTGACGAAATAATATTATTTAGTCAGAAAATTTATTTTAGACACATGAACCAAATCACCGTTAAGCCGAACTACATCTATTTAGACATTCTTTTTCAAAATGCAAGGAGCATATTCTTCTTACTACTGCAGGTTTTATGTTTTCCTGGCCTATATTATCAATCCACAATTTTTGAAGGCCTTCATTTTTGGCAACCTAAAATAAATATTATGCATCCTTAAGTACCAATCAAAAATAATCTTATCATCATCAAATCTTTTGATGAAAAAAACTATTATAGAAAATTTACGATCTACACTATTTTCAAGTCCTTTTCTTAAATGAAAGGCTCTCAATAGATCGTTTGATTAAATATACAGTTTACGTATCTAAAACGTTATTTGATCATAGGACTACATTAATATTATTGTTAAAATTTATATCGATAATTTCAAAACATGACAGCACGTAAGGGCAACACTATGTAAACAATCAAAATGTTTACTTGTTTAAATTTACATGATAATAGTCATTGGAAATTCTAGATAATAGCGGGAAACACGATTTAGAACCCATAACATGAACACGAAACACAATTCACACGAAAAAATATATAATTATGGAAAAAAATTACAACTAACCTGAAAAATGTCAATCCTTCTTCATTTTTACGAGAATTTGAATTACATCCATTGATGCAACACTTTGTCATGTTGTTTTTGCTCAATTACCCTTTACTAATGAACAAAAAAGCTCCAAAATAGTCAAAATTCACTGTAACACTGCAAAATAACTCCGAACCACAGAATACTTTACTCCTGCTCCGAACAAGGATCACGGCGGCTCTTCACGTTGGCCAACATACTGGCGAATGTGTTGGCCAACAACGATGGCCATCGTGTAGAACGGGTGTTGCTACGTTGGTATCATATTAGTCTGTGGTTGGTATGTATTGGAACGATGGCCAACAAGTTGGCGCGAGATCCCCGTGAGCCACACTACAATTGTATAAAGGTTAACAAAGTCTGTTGTAAGCAAATAGGAAATGTCTTTTGGTGTAATACTTGCAGGTGCAATAGCTGTAAAAGTAATTAAATTAAAAATATTTTTTTTTTTCAGATTATTTTCATTATGCAAACTCTGATGCAACAATGGCCTCAACAGCAGAAGTTGTTGAATTTTTCGACACACTGACAATGTCAATGGCTACCCGGTTGGTGTGCAAAGAGGAAAGTTAAGACAAGTGGTTAAACAAAATTTACAACATCACACTTTTTGGATTGAAGCCATTAATAAAATTAAAAAAAATGTTTTTTTAGACACCATGCTATATAGTAGCAAACATGCTATCCAAGTAGGAAAACCTCGACTTGTGCGAGGGCCATCCCAACAAGGAAGGATAACTTGTTACTGTAAACTTGTTGATAATTATTATTTGAACAGTATAATGTAGAATATTATTATTACAAAAATATTAGCCAAGACCCTTTAGAAATTTATTTTTGAATGTATAATAGTTATAGATTATAGAAATGTTGACCTAGATGCAAACATATTTATATATGCCTTTAAATATCTGATATTATATAACATGGTTAGTCCATATTTGAAATTCTCTACTTGCGAAGAGGATTATGGAGACACATTATTAAATGTTAGCGGTCTTTTCAAAAATGTTCATAATAATAAAGAAAATTACTCTGAAAACACTCCTAATGTTTTGCTAGCTCTCCTGTCCTCTTCACAAGCAACTTCAAGAGAAAAATTGCTTGTGGGTGATGTAGTCATGGAAAAAATTGAATACCACTGCTCAGCTTATACTGCTGGATACATTTGTCGGAAAATATCGAAAGGTATTCCTTGTAAGGATTGCATCAAAACAGCAGTACAGAGACAAATATTCACTCTTACATAAAATCTAGAGCATAAATTGTTGAAAAATAATAATTTGGCATACCCTAACGAAAAATTACTTAACTTGTACAGGGATGATATTCACTTTATTCATAAGTATTTGAATTATAGCTGTATCAGAAGTAATGTTAAAAGTAAAATATTGAGCACTTTGAGTTTTTCCTGGCTAGGATATAATAAGTATGCCTTAATTGTAAAAAAACTTTCATCAATATTTTAATAAGGTTACACGGGCACAATTGGTATATAAAATTGGCAATAATAAAATATTGAAATTTTGACAAAGATTGTAACTGAATCTTTAGGTGACTAAGCCTCACAAAAGATTGCTTAATGTCCAATCTCTGTCAAAATATAGAGAAGTTGAATGTTAAACAAATAACTTTATTATTAATGTAATTAAAACAATTTAAAAAATGGCCAGGTTTACCCTAAATGAAAAATTAATAGGATGTCTACTAATGAAACAAAGCTTCAAACACTACAAACTTAGAAAAAATGTTTGTCTTGCCTAACAAACAAATGTTATATAGACCAAATAATAATTTGGCATACCCTAGCGAAAAGTTCTTTATCTTATACAGGGAAGGTACTCACTTAATTCATAACCATTTGAATTGTAGCTGTTTTAAAATTAATATAAAAAGTAACTTGTAAAGTAAAATATTACTTACACTATGATTAAATATGATTCCTGTGGTTTAATTTCTTTAATTTGCTATTTGCTTTATCTAATGAACAATAAATATTGCTCTGTTTTCGTCAAATTCTGCCTATATACAATGTTATGTACATTTTTAATATAACCCAATGTACTTTTAATTTAATCCTAAGATTACGTGTGTATGTATATGATATTGGTGTGCTTGAATAAAAAATAAATGTTTATGTACCAAAATTGTTTCATTAAGTAATATTTTAATATAATGCGTCGTTACGTTGATATCGATAAAATAAGAACATCGCTAAATATCGATATCGGTGATTTGAAGGATGTGTGCTTGCAATCCCTAAGCTATATTTTTTTTTATTTTATCACTCACCTGTCAAAATGGGCGACTGCAGCGCCAAAAGGCATAGTTGGGAAACTTGACTAAAAGTCACTGTCGTATCTGTAGCTTGCTACATAATTATATATTTATCTATGTACTGATGTCGTGATTCTTAGCTTCACTTCGTATGCTAGCTACAGCAAGTATGTGTTGCGCGCGTTTGTGGCCCTGTATGCGGAATCTATTAGGAGGTAATCTATGGTTGTGGCAGAGTATTGGCCGTCGCGTCCACACGTTGGGCGCACGTTCAGTTTGCTACGAGCCACAAATTATAAAGTTGCTACGAGCTTCCAGAGTGATTGCACGCACCTGATTTAAATTTTATATGCACGCATCGTAACTAGTGTCTACATAACGGCAGTAACAATGACCAATGAAAAAACTTTTCGCTTTATAGAGCCCTACCAAGCCGAAAATTGTTTGTAAAACACAAGTCTTTTTTTAAAAAGAAATGTTATTATACACTAGGATTTTCTCCTGTATCGTGGAGGCAGTTTAGAAACATAAATTGCATAAGGACAAACATGTCCAGACCCGGAGAAATTATGTGTAGGCTATACAAATACTTGTTCCGTGCGGGATTCAAACCCGCGGCCCCCAGGGCAGCAACTCATTGCTAAGCCACTACGCCACGGAGCCGTCAAGAAATAAAATTTCTTTTTTCCATTTCTTTTTGATTACCCTTATACACATTCACGTTGTAGTGATTAATTGTATATTAATTTTTTTATTGATGTATTAATTGATTTATTAAACATCTTAAAATCTATAATATATATTAAAATCAAATTAAAAGTAGGATACTAAAATCATGTTTTTACTGTTTTTATTATTCCCTATTAGTTACTTTATTTCGTTAATAATACTGTAATTTTTAGCTATGGAAGAGCGAAGTCACCTGTTACAGGCATTATTTTGCTTACTAGGTGACCTCGATCACTGATCGTATAATGTAACTTTAATGTTAGACGAAATAAATTATTTATTATGGGGTATTTGTATAGTTTTCTCATCTGGTTGGGCTGTAT